GAATAGGACCAGATTCCAAAATTAACCACAAAGTAGCATAATAATTAGTCAGTTGCTGAATAACATACACTAAATCAAAATATCATCCTAGAAACATAAATAATATAAGTATATAACTTTGCTAGAAAAGATCTGTCTTTGTGGGTGTTTAATTCAGTAGTTCCACCTATGTTCAAGAAAGAAAGAAACCTAGGTGGAGAAGAAGAATGCAAATATCGGTTGATTTATCACTGAAAAAAATTGTGTTAGAATATCCTAATATTAGCATGATGAATTTAAAAACAGTTAGATTTTCTTTGATACTAGATTTATATATATAATTGATGCTGCACCAATCTTCAAATAAATTTAATAATATTCAAATCCATACTAATATTATTTGCATCAAAATATCTTAACACAATTTTATCTTATTATAGCATCATACATTTAGTATTTTTCATGAGAAATGATCATATCACCATCAAAATTAATTAAAAAAACAAATTTTGTATCATTTTCAAAATGTTTGATGCCAAATGGTCTAAGTAGAGTAACATTTAAGGATTTGTACAGTACTTTTATCCATTATAATATAAAAAATAAATAGCAAACCATTTGAGATATTTTAAATCGCTCCAACAAGAGATAAACCAAATGACGCAAATGAATTACCACTAGTTAAATTATAAACAAAAGCGTATTCGTAAATAACCAGCTGGTCAACAGATGAAAAATTGTCAATTCATTATCATATACTTAAATTTTAGACAGATTTCAAGCATGTCTACATAAACATACTTTTAAATACTTTCATTCAATATAATTTTAGATTCAGTGTATTGGCAACAAGAAAAAGAAATTAGACGATTAATATTAATTCGCCATATAGAAAACATCTTCAGAAATTTAAAAAATCCTCACGACAGAGAACCCAAAGAACACCAAGTGAAAAAGGAACAATTAAATCATTAGATGCCTAAAAACAGCTTGATCAACTTGCAATACCAGCTAAAAATCACGAGAGTCCCACATTATCCATACCCAATTTCAAATGATAAACAATCTACCACAAGTAGAAGAAAACCTAGACATTTAAAGAACAAAATGATGCTGATTCCTTCGAAACAAAACCTTTCAACTCAGTTACCAAGTATAAACGAAATTAATCCATCAAACTCAAAATTAAAAGAAATGAAGAAATTGCAGTCTTATTAACAGTTGCAGAAATCCAAAATCAAATCCTCCCAGAAAACAAATCGCGATTACCAGATCTGAAGCCCCAAATTCGTCGCTCACCTCCTCCGATTCAGTTGATGCAAGGCAGGATCCCGCCCCGATCCCGACCTGCACCAAGCGAATCAGCGGCGGCGGCAACATTAAAAACAGAAACCCTCCAACTCGCCGAAAATCTCTCTGTATCTCTCCCCTCTCCATTGCAGAAATAACTGAGCACGTTATCTGCGCTGAGTGGCCGATCTATATATATGAGAGCGAAATGGACTCTGACGTGGACACTCGTAATTTTTTATTATTTTTAAAAATTTTATAATAAAAGTTAATACGCCGTGGACAGCAGGAACTGTGCTACTTATAAAATTATCATTTTTTTATATGTTACTCAAATAAAAATAATTAGAAAGACAACAATTTCATAAAATACAAATTGGATTAGAAAATTATGGTTTTTATATACATCATATTTATATATTAAATATTTAAATTTATTTATATAATATTAATATTTACATATTTAAAATAATTTTAAAATCTTAATTTTTAAAATAAATTATAGATATATTTATGTAATTAAAATACTAAAATTATATATAAATAAATATAAATTTAGATGTAAATATTTAAATATATAAGATTATTGGTAGTATAGCTTGTATATAAAAAAAGAGACCAAATAATTTGGGTGGCCAAATTACATATTGCACATAGCCCATCTTTTTTTTAAAATATTTCTTTGGCTAATTTATGAATTAAGTGAAATTATTAATTAGATTGAATAATTGGAATCACTATCATAATAAAATAATTTATATTTTTAAATTAAGAACTTTTTTTTTTATTTTAATTAGTTGGTGTTTTTTTAATTCAAAATATTTATCAAGTGAGGGAGTTTTGAGAGAATGTTCTAAAGATGTGGGATTATATAGCTAAAAAAGGAGAATTTTTTTTTTCTTTCTTCAAAACAAAGGTTAAAGCTGAACATTTTAGGCTTAAAAAAAGTAAAAATAAAAAATAGAAACTTTTGGCAATGTGAAGAAGGCATAAATGTGCATATTCGAACAAACTACTAGTTGTTCCTTTCCCACTAAAAATATATATATTAATATTCAATTTATGCAGTTAAACCTTATATAATTTAAATATAAAAATTTATTTTCTATTATATATGTGGTATAAAAGTTACCAATATTTATTCTTCGGTTATATAAAAATGATTTTAATTTAATAGTCCAAATTGATCACGTAGATCGAACTATGTAGTTGACTAGGCTTCATTTGAGCGCCTGTTTTTGCTGCTTTCTAAAACGGTTTTTGTTTACAAAAAATTCTAATTCACAGAAATTTTTGTAACTGAAAAAGCAATGTTTTAGAAAATCACAAAAAGCAGTCTCAAACGAAGTCTGGGACGACTTTCTTAATTGATTTCGTTAAACAACTCTTTTGAATACAAATATTAATAAACTTTTTTTTACTAAGAAAATCACTTGTAAGAAGTAATGAGAATAGTTGCCTCACAAAGTCTAAATGACACATTAAGATACTCCGTGATTAAAATTATCATAATATATAATCTAGAGACTATTTTAAATTTATCTTTATATCGACAAATTATTCATTATTTAGTTATAATCATATCATATTTTGTTATATACAAACATAGATAATTTTTCATTATCATTCATATCTTCCTAATTTTGTATCATATACTATTTTGCTACTGCAAATTTTCAATTTTGCAACTTTACAGTCTCATAATACAGTGACTTGTAAGGTAATGTTCAACGGTACAAACTGTTTTCTTTACTGTTTCAAATAATGTGTCTACAAATAAATATATGAAGAGATTCTTCTTAAGAAAAACTCCAAAAGCTAACAACAATTCAATTCTTCCAAGAGAAAAGTGCTCTCCCACACTATTGTAAAGAAATTCTTTACTGTTTTAAAACTTCACTAATTCGGCCCAATAAATACACAACACATAAATAGATGTGCTCATCACATAATATAGATTTATAACTGTTAATTGATCAATAGGGAGTGTCAACTAATTTGGACAGACCCGAACTCGACTCGAAAATTTCGGGTTCGGGTTCAGGGATTTCAACCCGTTTTTGTAAAATCGGTCAGGTTGTCGGGTAGATCCCGGAACGCGAGAAATACCACTGATTTGACCCCAAAATTCCGTCTCTACCTCTTTGTCGCGTCCGTCTGACTAACCGCGTCCGCAATTCGCCTGGCTCAGCACCTGTCGCGTCGCTTCCGTCGAATTCGATTTGTCCCTAAAATCGCATATGTCATTGCCGTGCTTAAACTGCAGAGAATCGCGACAAGCCCGACAAGGGGCTGCGCCGCTGTGACTTGCGACGCTGTCGAGCCTGCAGCTGCAGCGGCTGAGACCAGCGCAACCCGGCACCGATGTTGCGGCTGCTTGTGCGCTCGTTGCCTGTAGCCAGACACGTGGTAACGACGCCACAGTGTGCCTGTGCCGAATGGACGGAGCAGCGTGGTTTGCACCGCAAGGTGTCACTGCTGTGGCGTCGAAACTACCATTTGTTGTGTCAGCGGTCGGCCGAGTCGTGTTCGAAAATTGACTCGTTTGCAAAAACGGGTCAGTTCGGTTACCCAAATAGTGTCCGTGTTCGATCCCAGACCCGACCCGTGACCCGAAATTGACACCCCAATTGTTAGGTCTCTCCTCTCACATAATAAAATAGAAGAAAGATCTCTTTCCCCCTCTCCATAAAAAAAAATTAGAGTGGGGGAAGTTTATAAGTAATTGATGGTGTTGCCTTGAATTTGACTCTATCTTTTCCCCAAGAAAAAAAAAAAGTTAATACTGACAACAAAATGGAGACAAAAAGAAGATAGTCGCTAAAAATATTTTTTAACTATCAGAAGTAACTAAAGCGAAGGAGGGAATTTTGATATTAGCTACGGAAAAGAAAAAAAATGGCTTATAATTTTGTTCCTATTTATTCATATTCTAGATCGTCATACACTTCGCAGATATATCAGAAGTCCAATGAGGGAATGCCCCCTGACGGGATTCTAAGAATATTTTTAGAATTCAAATTAATAAATAAAAGGATGAATTTTTTTTACTATTTCTCTTTGTATTTGGTTCAACGTTCCTTAACAATAAAACATCTACACAATGTGTTTAATTATGCGTGGAACAATTGTCTAAAGACCATAGTATTTTAAAACTTTTAGAGGGAACAATTGCCTAATAACTGTTGTAATAAAGACTAAAAAATAAATGGAGAACAAATTATCTAAATAATCATATAATAAAGATTTTTTTTTTTTTTTGGGTGGGGAATTTGACCCCCTAAACTTAAGGAAGATCCACCCAAGTCTCTGATTAAGTTTAGTTGGCTCCAAATGATTAATGTCCAAGTAGGAATAAGTGTCTATTTGGGCTAGCCTTCTTCTTATCTTTCTTTGTCAAACCGCAATCACAATTTTATTTTTATACTGTTTTCTAGTTGCATTTTAAACATTTTTGTACAATTTACAACAGCTTTTAAAAAAATTAAATTTTTTCACAAAATCTATGCAATCAGCTTTACAAAAAGTTACAACAAAATCTCAAACAGATCCTAAGAATCTGTTTGATTAAAGTTTTAAGACTCAAATAAGTGATATATGTTAATAATATAATATTATACAACAGACCTTAAAGAGGACCAGCAAACAGTTACAAGCATTATCCTATAATAATATAATACTATATAATATTATATATTTTAATAACCCAACTATAAACTTCCAGAACAATATTAAATCAAAGAATCTTGATTTTATTAAACATAATCTTCATTACAGGACCAGCAAACAGTTATAACTATACCACACAAACAATGAAAATAAAAGAAATAAAGGTCACATAGAAAGATCACAAAGAAAGAAACAGCTGAGGCATATACATCAAATCATGAAGAATTACAGAGTCAAAACTCCAATGCTTCAAACTGCAAGAACAATGATCACTATAAGCAGAATAACCCCAAAAATCACCAAGAGCAAACAGATCTGCAAGAAACAAAATCAAAGTAAGAAAAATGATTTTGAAAAGGTAGACATTTTGATCAGGAAAGCTGAAATACCAGCGATGACTTCGATTTTTGAGTTTTTGATGCTCTCAAAAGTTGAGTTTTTCCTTGTGCAGTTGATACGAGGGAGTTCTCGATATGGGAATCGATATCATCTTCAAAAAAAGGGCAAAGAAGATATTAAAAACAAGGGAAGGTAGGATTTAGGGCATCTCCAACCGAACTCCAAACACATGAATGGCGTCGCTCGCGAGCTCCAGCTGAACGGCAAAACTTCCGGTATTTGGTTGCGGGTGAACAGTGTGACGCCAATATTGGTGTTGCATGGTGTCACACTGTTCACCTGCGTTATTTTTTTGTCTCTACCGGATTTGCTGAAGAAACGCGCCAAAGAGGAGAAAGGCGGTTACCTTCTGCGAATGGCGTAAAATGGAGTTTGATTGGAGATGAATCATGACATTTTTTAGTTTTACTGTATTTTGGAGTGAAAAATGAGATTTTCGATTGGAGATGCCCTTATAAAAACTAGGGTCATGTATGCATTAGATTTCATTTATCTTACCGATCATAACTTCTTGATCATGAACCAAAACAGCAAGATCTTTGAATATATCATTCACCTCACCAATTTGCTGTTGAATCTCATGTATTCCTTGTTCTCTTTCATCAATGATGGCCTCATTGAAAACAATCTCATTGTCAATGAGTATCAGTTCTTGTCTGAAGAAACAAGTAGAAAGAACCAATAAAATACAATATCCATAGAAAGTAATACAAACTCCTATAGAAAGTGATATAAAATATACCCAAAACATGTTATGGTGGAACATTTTGCCATATATAAAGGAATGGCGAGAGCTATATCCATAGAAAGACATGAACGGCATATCATCTAGCTTTGAAGTATCAGCAAAACAATTTCATAAATAGGTGCATTTAAGTTGTATGGAATACATACATAAATGGTTAATTTCTCTTGCAAGAAGCTCAGATACTTCTGAAATTAGACGAGCCCGCTAAATATGCCACTTTTAGAAAAGGATATTGTGAAATAGAAGGAAAATTTATGCCAAATAGGTTTGAAAATTAAGAAGATATAGTATTTGCGGTGCTGGCTTTTTTAAGTCTTCAAGAGATCCATGGAAAGGGGATCCAATCTCTCCTACTAATCTGTTCATTCTTGCTTCGGCATTTCTGTATGTTATTGCCTTTGTAGACGTGCAAGTTTTGTACAAAATTGAGTTAACAACTCTTGTAGCACTCATGGCTAATAAATAAATCATCAGCAAGGAAGGTGCATAAGTTTCCCCCAAATAATTGGGGTAAGGTTAATATCATTAGAGTTGTCAAAAAAGCTCTTTATTGGGTCAAACTCAAGTGTCAAACAACTTAAGTTTGACCCAATAAAAAGTTCGAGTCTGACTTGTTCATTAAAGAATTGATCAAACTTGAACAGAACTATTGAGCTTGTTTTGTTAAGTAACCAAATACAAATAAAGCCTGTTTGAACGAGTACATCTCATTAATTGCTCAAACAAAAATAATGAACAAAATGATATAGATTAAGCTCACTTAAGCTTAGGTCATCTACTTACGATGATGATATTAATCATTTGAGTCAAAGTTAGATTTCAGGACAACATGTTGTGGCTTCTAAGTACTTTTATATAAAAGAAGAAAGGATCAAAATAATCTCTCGACTCTTTATGAGAGATCAAAATAGTCCACAATAATATTAACAAATCATTTTGGCCCCTCAACTCTCTATAGATGAATCAAAATAGTTCCACACCATGAGACTATTTTGATTCCTTTTAAAAGACTTGAAAGATCAAAGTAGTCCTTTAATATAGTTGGGAACCATTTTGATCTTTCATAAAGAATCAATGGACCATTTTCATCATTTTTTCTGATATAAAATTATCAGCTTATTACATATTGAAAAATCTGCGCATGAATTGAAGAACAGATAAAAATACTGCTAGCGTAGAAGTTCTAAAGGAAATGATAATAAGATAAATGCAACTTCAAAAGGAATTTTTACGTAGAATATTGCTACCTTCTCGCCTCCGTAAGCATTGAACGCTGATCAGGTGTTTTCTCAATTCCATCATGGACCTCACTTGCACTATAGCTGTATGTCAAATATGACAAGAAAAACAGAAAAATAAGATAGTCACTCGGGTAGCATTTAGAAATCATGAAATGCATTTAAATTTAGTGACACGGTAGGTCAACTGGCGTAGTTAGGAATTAGTCTGTCCAAATAATTTAAACACCAATATTGGTTTTAAATTGACTTCATAGCTCGCATCAAAGAACAAGTCAATAATAATATCAAGGAAATGCCTGGCATTGTATCAAAAGAGCAAAACTTTCGGCTATGCTTCTTTTCTGTGAACTTGTCAACCACTAGTCACGCAATTAATACATGGAATCTAAGTGGTCAAATTCTTAACTAATTCTGCAGGACAATTAATTTGTGCCGTGCAAGTAAAAGAAGATGATCATAAAGATTGTGTCGTACAAGTAAAATAAGATAATCATAAAGAGAAGCATCCACAAGAACACATCAAATTAAAAATAAATGAAAGACTTTAGCTCCCATACCAATCAAAAATTATATTTTTTTGCATAATTGATGCTAAAATATGTTAGGAAATACTGGAGAAATCCAAGTAATCACTAATAAGATTGGATGGAAAAATTCGGCAAAAACAACACCTTTTGATTTAAGGAAATCAAATAAACGAAGAAATAAACAAGATACAATTTATCCTCAATTCGAGAGGAGGATCTTCTCTCCCAATCCCTAGAAGAAATCTAGGGCCCAAGACTCCAAGACAATAACTCTCAAAAACAGCCACCAAAACATGCATAACCTAACCCTAAAAAACTCTTGCTATTTAATCCCTAATTCCCTAATTTCAAACTCCGGATTCAAACTTTTCCCTCCCACTCCTAGCCGCCCCCCACTTCTTCCCTAATTGGCTTTTCCTAGTGGCCCCACTAGGCTTGGGCGGCACCCCAAAGGGGGCAATTTGTTTGCCTCCTGTAATATAGAACCCACTTGGGCCGGTTGGCCAGTTCAGGGAGAACCGGCCTAACAAAATAACAAGCAGAATGTCATGAAAGTAACTTGTGCATTTAATTTTAACATTAAAGAGTTTTATGCACCGAATGCTACCAAATCATTCAACAAGCATTATAACCCCCAAATCAAGAACATCATTAATACCTTGACGGAAGAGTTGTTTGGAGAACAAAGGGTGCATATGCAGTTTCTCTCTCAACTGCAAGTCTTTGTGCCTTTTGAAACTCCTTGAGAACTGCTTGGAAATCCTTTGCAAGCTTAGCATCAGCAATTTTCTTGCTAGCCTACAAATAAATTATCAAATTATGTATACAATAAAATAAGTTAATCTCAAATATCATAAGAGAGAAAGAGTGCAGTATGTTAGCATATTCTGAACAAAAATGAATTTTAAGAAAACGTGGGAATAGAAAGTGGACTCACACTGACTGGAGTGTGATGATCTGTTTCACTAGCTTGCTTAAGTTTAGCTGAAGTATCTTTCACAAGCTGCCCAATGTGTAGTCTTGTTTTGTGCCTGTCATCAAGATAAAATTTAAAAATATCCATTGATTGCAATAGATTTGTTTAAAAACAACAACAAGATCAAGCCTTTATCCCACTATAAGCAGTTGGCTGATTTGTTTAACATTAAAAAAAAAAAAGAAAATAACAAGCAGATTTGTTAATAATGACTTGGCATTAATTAAAGGGGCTTTTCTGGCTCAAATGAAATTGTAAACCTAGAGGGATCACATTTTTATGCCAAATCTCTAACAAAGAACGAATATGATAAACATACCAAATTGCTTTAAAGAGATCAATTAGTAGAAGGCACCCAAATTTACATAATTTAAATTAAAAAAATAGTATTTATCTATTTGATTTACCATAAAGAAGCCACACATATGTACAAACAAAAGGGACTTTAGAAAACACTCTCCTTCAAACCTTCTTCAAGTCAATATCACGAAAAAAAAAAAAGAAGCCTCAAATCTCTCTAGATAAATAAATGAGAAAATAATTCAAGAGAGATGATAAAAAACAAAAGACTAAGCAAATACCATAAATTTTTCACTACAAAATTTTCTCAATATAGTTACCATCCCACATCTCTATAGATACGGAGCAAAACTTTTGGCCCAACAGGCTTTCGGATTGCCAAGATGCCAATTCACAAACACGCAAAAGAATTGCTTCCTTCCTCTTTTCTTTCTCTCTATTTTATTTATTTTGTTTTAACAAGTAATTCTTTGTTTCTCTCCCTTAAAGAATTACTCTAAAACCAACAAAATCCATCCAACCAAATTTCCCTTTAACGCACTCAATGGCAGAGCCCAGACACTAGCCTACAAACATCCCAAGTACACATAACAATGTACAATTTGCATGTCATAAGACTCCTATTTATAAGAGTTTTCAGGAGGACAATTTCAAATCCTTTTGGTTAAGGATTTATCCAAAATAATAAATTATCCCAATAAATTTTCAAATAAGTTTTATCCTAAAAAATAATATTCTGTTTTATTCTTAAAAAACCTCCTATTTTAGATTTGTGCATTAAAATAAATAATTTAGTCAAATTCCTAACAATCACTTCCTTGACTGAATTATGTGACAATAAATATGGATCTCTTCTATGACTTTTCTCCAAGCTGAGCACCCTAAGCTCTTAAAGCCCCAAAGGACTGAGCACAACATATCCTCAATAAGCCAAATGATGTTTGAACATAACACCTGTGATATTTCTTTCATGAACATTTGTTGCACAACAAGATGGTGTTAAGGAAGGTCAAGCTATTGTGCTTAGTCCTACAATAGATATGTTAAAAATATATTGGGGTGAAAATACTAAGTGGTTGGCCCTCATCTATAGGCTTAGGCTTTTAGATTGAAAGAGTTTTCTCATTAGAATATCAGACTTACCATTAATTATCCTTTGATTTGCACTCCCTAATAAATATCAACAAAATCAAATGGTCAATTAGGATCATGTAGTGGGTCTTAGTACCCTCTATCATGGATTAGGAAAGCTTAAGATCAGGTGACTCCTACAGAGGCTCTATGTTGTTGAGTAAACTCTTGGCATATGATACTTAAGGGAATTTAAAAAAATATATATTTGAGGGTAAGTAATGGCCAGTATGAAGATCTCTTACATGACAAGGAGATTATTAAAAAATGTGAGAAAATTGAGTTTAATCTCACGTCAAATAGGTGAAAAAGATGTTGGCATAGAAATATCTAGTTGGCCCTCACCTAGGGGCTTAAACTTTTGGGTTAAAAATAGATATAACTGCCATTTTATCAAGCACAAATCTTGTCCCTATTTGCTCTACACTCCTTAAATATATATCCAAATGATCAAAAAATTGCATGTACTAGGCCGACTCTGAGTTTTTATAACCCCAAAGTGATTGCATCTTTGTTCTGAGTATTGTAATGATATGATCTCACACTAATATAGACTACACAACCATATGATCTCCAATATTATCATCCTTAACCTATGCCCTCCTTTATTCCAGAGCCTGACATGCAATTAAGAAGCTAACATTTTTTTGCTTCTGCAAATCATGATTCCATAATATATACAATAAAACACCACTCAAGTTTACAGCCTCCAACACGAAGTCCACCAACTCTCTTCGTGCAGTCAACAAACCTTTGTAAACTTAAGTATTTCAACATTTGGATGAAATATGCATCCTGAATTACTAAGAGTACTCAAATATACAAGTTTCTTCTTAAAATTGGTATAGAATTGACTCTCTTCAATGTCCTAATCACACACTCACGCATCATAACCTTCAAATTGCCAAAACCAGCTATCTTAAATATTTCATTATTTCTCATATAAACATAACCACTATAGTGTGGTTATAAGTAGAAAATCACTCCTAGGGATACACGATATTCATAAGATGAATTAAGACTTTATTGGTCATTATATCTATCTTCAAAAATCACCAAAAGACATCACTTTATGTCCATTGGACCAATCAGCAATAAGATTAGCATATGTTGGCTAAGCATCTTTGTTGTTTCCATAACACGCTACCCCTTTCACTTCAAATAATGTTAGTCTCACTTAATACGCCCTTTCTTCTTATAAAAATAGCAAGATACATTCTCATATTTGACACAAGACTTGTGCCATAATGAAAGTTAGACCCCATCTCAAAAAATTTCAGAATCAATAATCTCCTACTCATGCCTTCATCCCTGCCACACTTAAACTTAACAGTAATTTCTTGAAAAGGTGGATTATTAACATCTTATAGGCTAATTATAGATCTTCTAAATAACAAAGTGTAAAAAAAAAAAGAATTAATAAAAGAGATAAGAAAATATCACTTGCTCGTCAACATAAATTATACTATAAATATTTCCCAAATCTCAAAAATAGAACTAAAGTAGTTAATATGTGATTTAATAAGTGTACAGTCTGACTCACAAAGCATTACCTTCTCTACCTTTGATATAGTTTGTTAAAAAATTTTTTAATCATATAGATCAACTTGAGATTGAACCCCTTTGTTGTTGTTTCCTAAAAAATTTTTTATAAAAGTTTATTCATAAAATAAAATTGGGTTGTCAAGAAAGCTTTTTCATCTCTATTTTATCCTGTGTGCTCGTAAATGTAATCTCAAGCATATTTGAATGTCCCATGAGTGCCTTTAGAATCCAATACATATTGGTTCTCCAAAGCTCAAAGTTATTTGAACTATCAAATATTTTTATCATAAACTTCATGGATATCATATTCCACGTTGGGTTCTAATATCACTAAAAGCCAAAGCCTAGCTAATTTGCATCACACACATACCCATGCATGGTTTGTATATATTAGAAGCCCGTTTATAAGGTTTTAAGAAAGCTACTTTCAAATCCAATGCAGTTCAGATTTTAAATTAGATTTATCCAAAACAATTAATTATCCTAACCAATTTTTAAACTAGACTTCATCCATAAAACAAATAATTTGTTATTATTCTAACAAAAATCATATTATCTGTGAATATGCTAACAAAATATTGAGTCAAAATCCCTAACGGAAAAAAATACATGCGCCATGCAAATTCTCTAATTAAATGTCGTATTCCTATGATTAGTATCACTTGGAATTTTAAGTTGGGTTAAAGATAATTGGTCTGTTGCTTCACAATAATGATTAACCCCATTTTCCATATAGTTAGATCATCAGGGTAAGGTCTAAAGGAGAATGAGATAGCAAATAGATGAATCTTCCCGATCAAACGAAATTTCTTATAAAATCCTTTCCAATAATCTGGCAACGGAAAAACAATGAAGCTTAAACCAAAAACAAAACCTATCAAAGAATAAAACACAATTTATAGCAGCCAATTTCTAAACTTCACTCCCGCAATGAATCAAACACAAAGAAACAGACAAGCAAGAACATTAAACTGGAAGAAAAAAATAATAAATAAATAAATAACCAAAAAAAAAAAACAGAAAACACATATCCTTACAGCCGTTCTCGGAGCTCAAGGGTATCCTTGGGCGTTCCCAGAGTGTTGACAAGTCGCTGGAAAGTGGAGACAGCCGTATTGATCTGGAAGACGCCGGCAGCCACCGCCTGCGTGGGCTCTTGCATTGTGTTCGCCGCCGCGTCTCTCCTCCACAGAATCGGCCCGCCCGATTCAACATCCTGGAAGCTCATCCCTTCCGGCAGAGTTTGAACCTTGAGGTAACAGGGTTAGAGACAATTCTAGCCCTAGGGATCGGGAAGATTAGAAAGAGGAAAAACCTCAAAAATTAGAAACCCGAGGGGAGGAGCCAGATCAACAAGGCAACCATTAAAGGCACTAATGCAACGCCTAAATGGGTTTAAGTGGACCCAATTTCAAAATTTGTTTTAAATTATTTTTTATTAACTTCCAATTAAGATTATTTAATTTAAATTAATAAAATTTTCATATTTAAATCATGGTCTTGAGGCATTGACCAACTTTAATCAAATTTATATGCTGGAAATATATATATATATATGAACATTATTGAAAAAATGCGGACAAATATTTTATAGATAAGGATAAATTATTTTGTGCGGACACCGGCTATAGAGAATCGTGTGGATTTGATACGCTTTTACTATTCTTTAGCTTTGTTGTTGCAAATACTCAGTAAAAGCATATAAAATATTCAATTATTCAGTAAATATTATAAATATTTACTGCCCTTTTGTAAAAGGGCAGTAAAATGACAGCAATAACGATAAACAAGATAAATTTGCTTTAGGATGACTATGGTTTACAGGATAAATTTGCTTTCGGAGATAGTGGTTAGATAACGATAAACAATGAAGCCGGTTGTTGGTGCTTGGACGACAAAGAATGTCAATAGGCAAACGAAGTTGCGGCAATCTTCAAATCCTGGTATTGTCTCCATCAAAAGCCAACTTTTAATTTGAAATGAAGATCTATTTATAGATTTTTTATTAGTTATTTTGATTATTCATCCAAATAGTCGAAAGTATCCTCTATGAATATAAAGGTCCTCTGTAACTTATATTACTTATCAATTACTTATCATTTTAATCAAATTAGACCCATTAATTTTTATTTTAAATTTCTCACATAAAAATATTTATTTCATATTCAATGTATTTGCTTCTCTAATTATTAATTACAATTAAGATGATTAAACTTTTTTTATTAAAAAAATCTATGAATAATTGCAAAAAAAATTATGCCAATTAAAAAAAAAATACTTTGTGAATTCATGACTACTAAATCCAGATTTAACAAGTATAATATTAAAGCTAACAATAACATATAAATCACAATAATTAATAATAAAATGGACCCCACTGTATTTTTATAAACTGTATGAACTATTGTATGAAGAACACGTAGCAAAGTAGATTACAGCACTGCATGATATATATATATATATATATATATAAACTATTTTTTTATTGTGATTTTGCAAATACTTAGTAAAAACACATCAAATATTTAATTATTTATTAAATATTAAATATTTGTTGCCCTTTTGCAAAAGGGAAGTAAAATGGCAGCAAGTCCGAACGGTTCTCTCCATCTGGTGTCCGCACAGAATAATTAGCCCTAGCAAAAACATTAGGGTGACTATGATTTACAAGATAAATTTGCTTTAGGAGATAGTAGTTCGATAACGATAAACAACAAAGCTGTGGACAACAAAGAATGTCAATAGGCAAACGAAGTTGCAGCAATCTTCAAATCCTGGTATTGTCTCCATCAAAAGTCTACTTTTGATTTCGAATGAAGATCTATTTATAGACTTTTTATTAGTTATTTCGATTATTCATCCAAATAGTCGAGAATATCCTCTATGAATATGAAGATCTCTGCTACTTATATTACTTATCAATTAGTTATTATTTTAATCAAATTAGACCCGTTATTTTTTATTTTAGATTTCTCACATAAAAATATTTATCGCCTATTCAATGTATTTGCTTCTCTAATTATTAATTACAATTAAGATGATTAAACTTTTTTATTAAAAAAATCTATGAATAATTGCAAAAAAAATTATGCCAATTAAAAAAAAATACTTTGTGAATTCATGACTACTAAATTCAGATTTAACAAGTATAATATTAAAGCTAACAATAACATATAAATCACAATAATTAATAATAAAATGGACCCCACTGTATTTTTATAAACTGTATGAACTATTGTATGAAGAACACGTAGCAAAGTAGATTACAGCACTGCATGATCTGATAACTTATTTTGGCAAACGAATCTGATCAAATAAATGACTAATATACTCATCATTGTTAGCTGGACAAGTGGATTTGACAATGCTACTTCATTCATAATTGCTCTGCACAATAATAAAGTATTTAAATGAAAGATTTGAAACACAACTCTGATTGACCTATTGGTTGAGAGCTTAGGCTTTCAATTAAGAGGCCCAGGGTTTGAGTCTATGTGTATGCATTGCGTATGAGAGTTTGTCTTAAATGACCTAAATGTCCAAAAAAAAAAAAAGCTTTGAATTATATAAGTGAAGAAAAATTAGCTCGTTAACTACATAAATGATTGAAAATTTAAGTAAATCCATCACTCTCAGTGACTAATCCTCGGCTGGCCTAGAAGAAGCACCCACTCCAGAAATCTACTAACCCGCACTTGATTGGGTCCCACTTAAGAGGCACTACCGCTCGAGGGAAATCGAGCACGGATTGGGAGTTCCCCATTCCTATATATATAGCTTCAAAGCTCAATGAAATTTAGTTTAGGAGAAAATGATCAAAATAGTTCTTGACTCCTAATAAAAGATAAAAATGATCTCCAACTATAATAAATGATCATTTTTGTGCATAGGCTATTTAAAGATGAATAAAAACAGTCACAACATGAGACTATTTTGATTTCTTTTTAAGAAATTGAAGGCCAAAAATAATTTTTTAATATAGTTATTGATCATTTTGATCTTTCATGGTAAAGGACAATTTTGATAATTTTCCCTTTAGTTTAGTATTTTATGAAAAATAAAAAAAAAGTGACCTTTTTCTTTAATGAGAACAACCATGAGTGTGCTTCTAAAATTTTGAACGTTAGAATTTTGAATTTGAATTGAGCTTTGTAAGATCCATTGAAAATAACAAAGGAAAAAAGGAAGAGGAAGAGAGATGGAGAAACTAAAAAAGCCCTTCTTTTTTACCTTTTCATTTGTTCCAATGCTAAAAGATTATGCTTTAATGAATCTCTCTTGACTGCCTCTCGCTCTTATCTTTTATTTTAATGATAAATATGGGGAGCCCATTTCGAAAAGTAAAGCAAAGAGGACAACATCAAACCTCAAAAACTAAAGAAAAGTATGCTTCCAACTCCTTTTCTTTGTAGAAAGCACTTAGTTTTCATCTTTCCTTTGCCTTAATTTCTTATTGCCTAAGTAAGTTCTCCAAAACAGAAAAAATATTGTTCGTGATGTTATGAGATTTTGCTTTTGTTCTTCTTCTGCAGAAATCTAATCAAGACCTCCCCTTTGAAAGTAAGGAGGCAATGCCACTAAGATTTTATTTGAGATAGCTTTCTTACTATTTTATAAATCAAATAAAATTTGTATTAAAAAAACATTTTTTTAAAAACAGTAAGAAAGTTGTTCCAAACGAAGCCTAAGGGCATCTTCAACTGAAAATCCCATTTTTCACTCCAAAATGCAGTGAAATTAAAAAATGTCGTGATTCATCTTCAATCGAACTCCGTTTGCGAGCTTCTGAAAAGGTAACCGTCTTTCTCCTCTTTGGCGCGTTTCTTCGGCAAATCCGGTTGAGACAAAAAAATTGCGTTAGTGAACAGTGCAACGCCAATATTTGGCGTCACACATATTGGCATTGCACTGTTCAGCCGCAAGTAACTAGTGGAAGATTTGGCGTGTGGCTGAAGCGATCAAACAACGCCATACGCATGTTTGACGTTCGGTTGGAGATGCTCTAAGTAATTAAAAAAAAACCTGATATAATTTCTGAGTGAATGAAGAGTATTAAGCAGTAAAAACTGCAATTATTGCAATTAAGTGAAAGTGAGGAAATATTAATTATTATATATTTGATTTAATAAAAAAACAATCAAGATATTATGGATGATCATTTCTTGTAAGGAATTTTATGTGTCAAATAGAAAGAACTGTGATAGAGTACAAAAAAAAAAGTTCCTCAAAAAGAAAAGCCATAATGTTTTTATTTCCCTCCTCAATGAAACCACCCACATGAACAGCACTAAAAAATCTATAAACTTCTATGATTCACTTTCATGAAATTAACAACATTTTAAAACTCTAATAGAGAAGCTATATGCTCATTATTATATCTCAACATGAACTGAAATTTATAAATTTAATGTGATTTAGAACTGCAGCCAATTCCTCCAATGCTACTCCCATTAGATGGAACAAACTGAAGCTGACAAGCGAGATGCAATAAAAACTTCACAGATAGAAATATCCCTACCCTCCACCTTGTTCTTGTTTGCCCACTGAGACTAAAAGTAACTTTCTGCTGCTTCAGAGCTATATCCATCTCATCCCTGGCTCCCTCATCAAGTGGAATCACTGCAGACTGGACAACATAATTCAGAGGCAATGAGCTGTTGTTTGGGACATCTAAGGGATCAGCTCGGAGCTCTGCAATTTCTATGGCATGAAACAATAGGATGAATTTGGCTTCAGAGAACCCTGCATCAGCTTTCGCATTGTGGTTCTCCGCGGTGATGGTGAGAGCCATTTCGATGTCGAGTGAGCCAGTCTGGTCATAATCGAGCTTGTTCAGGTGAGCATATGTGATGTGAATGTAAGGAATTTTGGGCTGGTAGATCATGTAGATTGCGAAGACAACGATGCCGGCGATGATGACGGCGATGGCAAGAACAGCACAGATGATGGCAACCAGCCATACCAGTGGGCTGGTGCGATCTCTGCTCCATGTATTTGGTCTTGGCATGAGGAAGTAGTAGTTGCAGAAGACATCTGTGTTTCCCTTTGGTTGTTTTATGTTTGATGAGGTTCTATGCAAAGTTGGAGATGGTAAAGTTTGGTATCTTGTTTGCCTTGGTTTGGATATATTGGGAGCATTAGGAGTAGCTTTCTATAGGGTAAAGGAAATACCAAACTTGCAGTGGTTTCAAGAGTTTGTACTTGCATTTGCTTAGGATTCATGAGAAGGAATGAAGTTTCGAGATCGGGTCTGTGGCCGAGTGGTTGATGGAAGAAATTCCTCCCATCTCATCCAGGTTCGAATCCTCTAACCATAAAAAAAAAAAAAAAAAAAAAAAAAAAAAAAAAAAAAAGTTGGGTAAAAAGAGTCGCTGGCAGATCCGTATACTACTTCCCCTTCTCTTCAATAAAAGTTTATCACTTTCCAAAATTTCAGAGCCTGTCAGTATTGAGTAACTTTGATCAACATACTGTTGAGTTGCTTTGGCTGAGCTTTTTCTATTATTGTGTTAAGTATATTGAGAAAAATAAAATATGCATATATAGACAAACAACCAAATATTCTTAAAAAATCAAAATAAATATATATAGTTTATATTATTGATATATCATCAATAGATGAACGAAGCCGGAATTATGTCTGACATCTGAAGGACGTCAGAATTCTGCTCGATCTCCAAATGGCGCTGAAACTTTGTCCGACGTTATAATTGAATTTCAATCCAGAAGTGATTCATTGTAATATGATCGTCCTAACTTTTGCGAACGAGTCAGCCTCTTGTATCTCAAGCAAACACTAGTGGAACTTTTTCAACTGGGCGTGGCCCCGTGGTTTTTTCCCTTTCTAGGGTTTCCACATAAAAATTCTGATGTTTCTATTTCTCTCATATTTGTGTGCTGCATATCCGTACAACGCTGAGACAGAAATTTTCTAATTCTATCGCCTTGTATATTCTAGCCCGCAACAATTATATTAAAATTTCTCATATAAAATCAAATATACTATGGGAAATCCCTTGTAATTGTATGTCCAAGCATTGATCTACACCATCTAAATTTAACTTTCTTCATCATGTAGTTAAGCTATTTAAGTAAAAAATTGGAATTAATTATCTTATGGTTGACTTGCGAATCTGACCCGCGTCAATTCTCCTCCATTTTCAAGAAAATTTAAGGAAAATTTTATGTCTACTGTTAAATAACCTGATATATCAAACAATTTTGAAAAGCACTTGCAAAAGAATTTAACGTAGATTAGGGGTGTCAATATTTGACACGACATGACAACCCGATACCTGATATATCAACAATTTGAAAGCACTTCAAAAGATTTAAACCTCGTAAGATAGGGGTCAATTACAGCACACTGACAACCCGACGCCGGAAAATCGAAACCCTGACCGGTTATAACGGGTCGGGCGGTTTGCAAAGCATCGCGACGTTTGATAAAACGGGTTCGTGTCTGTTCGAAACCCGGCGGGTTGCCGGTTCAATTTTGAAATCCGTTTAATTTGTTGAACAAATTGATTCCGCGCTGCCAGCTGCTGCCCGCCGCGCTGCCGCTGCCGTACACGTCCGAGCGCCAGCCGCTGCCGCGGCTGCCAGCCCGCTGCCCGGCCGGTGCCCCGTCGCCCGCACGTGCGGATTGCAAGAACCCAGTGCTTCGCTGCCTCCGCGCGTGCGCTGCGTGCTTTAGCGTTGCCCTACTGAGGCCCCAACCGCAGTTCAGCTGCACGCGACGCGCCCGGGCGTCGTCGCCGCTGCCTCGCTGCCATGGTGTGACTAAACCGGGTGGGGTCGTCGGGTCAACCCGTAAGCCCGCTCAGTCGTGTTCGGAGTTGACCCGTTTATTTACAGGTCAGGTCGGGTTAAGGCCCGAATAAGATGGGTTGACCCGAATTGAACGCCGCTAACCGATAGATTTGAAGTCTAGCACTGG